AGAAGAGAAAGCGAGGGGAAAGAGAAGAAGAGAAAAGGGGGAGAAGGAGATGTGTTTTGTATGGTATCTGAGACAGTAAATCACTTTTAAGGTTCCTCTTAAATGAAGCTACCGAGAGAGAAGAATCTTTAATTTTGAATGTATTTACCAAAAAGGCAATTTGATATGAGAATGGTTTCTTAAATGATTTTTTATTGTGTGATGGTATTGTAATCAAATTCAATCTTCTAATGTTTAGATTATGTACATCAGTCCGGTAGCTAATTTTTAAGTGAAGATGAGGAGGGCTTTTATATTTTATAATCTTGTAAAAAAAGGAAGTAGAGTGCAAGGTACGCCTCTGAGCCATGTTCAACCATCCCAGTTCAGGGAGTTTGTGGGATACTCTTTGTCTACCCCTTATGCCAAATATCAGTCTCAGACAAGAATTCTGAGCTTTTTGAACCCGTTTTATTTCCACACTATCAAGAAACGGGCCATATACCATATCAGCAAAGTTGAAGTGGGACAACACTAAAGCTTCGCAGAGTTAGTATTTTGTGATAGTTAATGTCCATGCGCGTAAATTATATTTAACATATTCACTTTTCCTAGGCACAGAGTAATGTGCTCTCTAAACTTAAGTTTAGAGTCAACCACTAAGCCCAAATCCTCCACGGGTTCCCTAAATGATATTATATTGTCCCCTAGTTTGAGCTTAATATTATTTTCAATTCCGTTTCTGCAGGAATCACTACAAAACAATATAGCCGTCGATTTACTAGGGTTTATCTTTAACAAGTGATCTTCAGAGGTTTTGAGAAGGCTATTCAAGTCGGTATTCAGTCGGTTTGTTATAAGTTCTGACAGATCCGGTTTAAAAGTGGCATAAACTTGAGTGTCGTCAGCATAAAGATGGTATTGACAATAAGTCAGCGACTTCATGAAATTAAAAGTACATAGGCTATACAATAATGGACCCAAAATACTGCCCTGGGGCACCCCTGATGTAATTGTAACTGCATCTGATATGTTCCCGTCCAAAGTCACGCGCTGCATCCTTTCAGATAAAAAAGGATTTATTAATGCATAGGCCGGCTGCTCTAATCCAATATATTTCAAAATAGCCACATCATCAAATTCGTGGATGGAAAATCTTGTTTGTTGTAAAATCCATTTTTTGAGTTCTGTTTTAAATAATCTAATTGATTTAATTACTTTTAATGACTCTAGTATGAAGTTACAGAATTTTGGTCTCAAGAAAAACAGAGATTGTTGTGTAATGGTTTTTGATGTTTGTGGAATACACATTAGACTCTGATTGAATCTTGTTCGGTAGTTATGAATGGTACGAAGTATTTCGAATCTTTAATATAATGAATTAAGCCACAATAAAAATATGTTTGTCTGCCATCTAATAGTTGACTCCATATATAGGTAATGACTTGAACAAGTAATCTCCTTATGAAGCATCAATTTTAGAATTAATTTTTATAATAATAATAATAATCATAATAATAATGTTTTTTCACGTAACATACAAATATACCTAAAAACTAACATAGGTATACGTGAATAAACTGAATTTACTCGCAGAAGAATAAATTCTTGTGCGTTAGTATCAACTTAAATTCCTACATAAATATACATATACACACGTATACACACGCATACACACACACACATATATATATATAAACAGATGCACATATACACACATACGTTGGAGGGTTTTTACTATTACATTAATTTTAAATTTCTTTCATACGTGTCATGTTTGCAATTTGATGTCGATTTTTTGAATTATAAATTTTTTGGTTTCAATTTTGAATTTTGTTTTATTTGAAATATTTCTTATCTAATTTGGTAATATGTTATATAATCTACTGGAAAGGTAAGTATAACATCTTTGGCCTATACTTTTTGAGGTGAAAGGTGTTTGCTTAATGCTGTTGATTTTGTTTCTAGTTTGATATAAGTGATCTAACGGAATAAGGTTATTTCTATGGTGAAATTGATAATTTATAATTTCATAAAAAAATTGTTGCCTAGGGTCTAAAAATTTTGCTTCAGAATACAACAGATCAGATGGGTATAAGAGTGGTTTATCAAAGATTATTTTTAAAAATTGTTTTTGGATAATTTCTAATTTATTAATTTGGTTATTAAATAAACGTTTTTGGAATTACTATTCATAACCCCCCCCCCCAAGCCAAAATTCCGTAAAGTAATAGAGGATAAACAAGAGCATTATATAGATATTTCTTATAAAGAGTATCTCTGAAGTACCTGAATTTGGAATCAATTTCGTTGTTGGGGAAGATAAAAAGCTAGCGGGTCGTCCTTCTACCACCTTCTTTTTCATGTCAGTGATGTTAAATATGCCTAATGTGGCCCATTGTCCGACTTATTCTGCCACCCGGCAATCGGTACTGAGGTATTCCAACGCGTGTACAATCACTTCGGACCAACTTAAGAAGATTTACATTTTTCAGTTTTTTGAGGTTTTATAAAATCAATCCATGTCATGATATGTATGAGTACTGGTAAGGATCTGTTTGTTCTCTTAGAAGCTTCTCTTATCGATAGATAGGCCTCACGCAGCTCGACAATTCGACCCCTCTCAAAGTCACTTAGCCTGGACACTCGGCGAATTCTATGCACTCTAGGCATTTTGAACGCTCACAAAAAGGCTTCTGAATAAGCTACACGAAATTTAACATTTAGCTGACACCGCAAATTTACGAAAACAGAATGCTTCTTTGTCACCAAGATACACGCAGCCACCACAAAAACTTAACGTGAAAACCTGACCATTTTGTCACTTGTTGCTCAAGGCAAGATAAATCAGAATGTAAAAAATTCTTGAATTCTAATAAACAGGTGTGTACCTTTTTTGCCTCTTAGGGTGTTTCAGTTTATTGTTGCACAACTTTAAGATTCGACAGAACTTATAAAATTAATGCATAAAGTCTATATAAATATGGGTCAAAAACTGCGTGGCTTCCGAAATACAGGGTGTTTAAATTTACTTTCTAAAATAGTTTTTTTTTTAAGTATTTCGAACAATATTTGATGTATAACAGTGAAAATTGGTATACAAGGGTTTTTTGGTACAAAAAAACGAACCATGGGCATAGTTTTACTGTAGCCGCTAGAGGGCGCTCTCTACTGTACCTGTAGGCCTTATTTCATCACATGCATTTCTGATTCTGTCTATTAGCATATCTCTTGTGGTTACGGGAGTCTGGTGCACTTTTTCTTTTAGATATCCCCACACAAAGAAATCTAGTGGATTTAGGTCAGGGGATCGTGGAGGCGAGGCGACTGGTCCTCCACGGCCAATCCATCTTTCTGGATAATTTTCGTTCAGCCAGTTTCTAACTATTCTCGAATAATGAGCTGGACAACCATCAAGCTGGAACCAGGCCAATCTTCTTAAATCTAACATAACATCATCCCACATATTTGCATGTCCAACCTTCAAAAATTCCAAGAAGGTCGCAGCATTGAACCTTGTAGGCAAAAGGTAGGGTCCAGATAGTCGATTACGGTAGATACCAATCCACACGTTCACACTAAATTCATGCTGAAAATTTCTTTCCCGAACTGCATGCGGATTTTCATGCCACCAAATATGTTGATTATGAAAATTTACCACTCCACGTCTAGTGAAGCATGACTCATCGGTCCATCATTATCATTATCAGTTCTATCAAGAATCCACTGACAAAATGTGATTCTTCGTTCTCCGTCCCCTGGCTGTAGTCCTTGCACAGGTTGCAAATGGTAAGGACGTCTATGGTCATTTCTAAGAACACGGTGAACATGGCTTGCTGAAATTCCCAAGGCACCAGAAACTCTTCTAACACTTGTGGTCGGATCTCTATCAAACTCACGCAGAATCATACGGGTAAATATGCGCTGACGAACATTTATGTTTTGATTCCTTTGGAGATTTCCAAAACCATTTTCAATTATTTGGCGATGCACTCTTACAAATACTGAGCGAGTTGGATGTCGTCTGTTTGGAAATCTTCGTGCGTATTATCTGGCTGCTTCTGCTGCGTTTCCATTTACAAAGCCATACACAAAATGAATATCCACTAACTCTTGATTGGAGAATAAAAATGGCATTTTTATAAAACCTACAAAAAAAAAGCAGGTAAAAGAAACTAAATTTCGGGCATTCACAATTGCAAAAAAACGTTTCAGGTTTCAACAGACAACAAAACTAACTGTCAACTAATTGACGTTTAACCTCATTCTGCTTTCAATTTAAAAAATATTTGCAGGCACAGCCTACTTCTAAAACTTATCGAGATACTGACTTTTTAACGTTATTTTATCATAAATAATTAAAAATGCATCGAACCTAAAAATCGAAATATCTCAAAAACGGCTAACTCTAAACGAAAATTCACAAGAGAGCTTTTTATGTTGAAAGGTGCGAAGATCAGTTTTTTTATTCAAAAAGCAAAAAATTGCACTATTCAGCTCAAATTGGTCCCAGGTGAGTGATTCAAAATGAAGGAGGTATAAATCGCCAATTTGATTCGTCGGGCCATACTGAATTTCGAATTGCATCGCTTTGCTGACTGTATTCAACTCATTAACCCTTTAATTTGATCCCATATTATAGGTGGTATTGTTAAATGATACATCGTCATTTTTAGCATCCTCCATATGGACCAAAAATGGGCGGCATATATTTTATTGCCATGTCAGAGAAGAATCAAAAAGCCCTTGCATACTACCAATTTTCACCCTGTTATCACATCAAATGTTTGTTCGAATATTTAAAAAAAGTATTTTAGAAAGTAAATTTCCGGAAGCCACGCATTTTTCGACCCATGTTTATATAGACTTTATGAATTAATTTTAAAAGTTCCATCGAATCTTAAAGTTATGCAACAATAAACTGAAACACCCTGTATAATATTACATCATTAAAGCCGAAAACAGGAACTGTTCAAAAATCTCGTCGGCCTGTTTGATTTTGGAAAAACTTTTGTACTCACCTGTACTGGCACGTCATCCCGTATCCGAAGTCCCTCCAAAACCCCGTATCCCTAGATATCACCAGCTGATCGTTCTCAGGTGGCACTTCTTTCCCCTGCAACGTGTACACTACATGCGGATTGTACAAACTGAAAACAACCGGATAGTATACTTTCTTCCCTGGCGTGGTGTTCCACCGGCACCTGTCCAGGAAGCGAGCACTAAACACTACGTCCACGTCACACATAAACAACAACACGTTCTTGCCTTCCCCTGGCCCCCAAGTTCTTTCGGCCCCAACGCGAAGGCCCTTGCCCCTAGAGAACGTTTCGTTCAGTGCTAGGAGGCGGAGATTGTTCTCGTTGCCGCCGCTGTTTTTCGTCATCAGCACGCGCGACATGATGGCACGAGCTTCTGACAGGCCTTCTTCGCCGAAGTAGACCACGGTAAGGTGCACCTAGGGGAGAATATGTATAATTAACTGATATGAAAAATGCTTGCTTTGAGGCTACGGTGAATGCAAAATCTTTGTAACCATCTCCGTTATCTTCAGTACCATATTGCCTTGGGTAGCGAGGCCCGATTATGAATATCGTCGATTTCTTGCGAAATGTTTCTCAAGTTAGAGAAAAATTAAACAATTTGTGTAAGATGGGCCCCAAATTTTCATTGTTATCCCGCTAAAACTAAGAGTCGTTGCATATGAGACCTCAGGGTGAGATTCTTGGTATTTTGGTCTTTGGATGCAAATCGTTTCCGGTTTGGAAATGAAATTACAAGCATCACTGTACGGATTCTGGCGTTAAAGGAGATACCAACTCACAAGGTATCAACACGATCCTCCACTGCGACTCTTTGGTCTATTGTGGCTCATCTCACAAGGTATACAGACATTTATTGACAAAATGAAAATAAAAAAAATTGAAGAGAAGTCCTTGAGGTACAGGCTAAAGAAAATTAATTAGTATTATCCCCTAGCTGAATGGTTGACAAAAAAACTAAAATCGTGAAAAAACCTTGGCTATCCCCGAACGGTAACCGAGGGTAGGAAGTCCCAGACGTTTAAGGGTTTCTAAATGTGTATATTACAGTGAGATGTTGTAACTGTCATCACGGGTTTTCGGAATTCGGGTAATTTTCATTCATTTCGTCTTTTACATCTCAAAAATTTTCACAATTATCAAAACATTCGAAAAACTTAGATTTTCAGACTATGCAACATCTACTAAAATTTCAAGATCTTATTTTTTCAAATACCTCAGCATATTCCAACTTTTGGAAACTTGAGAATTTGAAAATTTTGAAATACTTAGACGCTTTGAAAATGTAGATATTTTGTGCATATTGATGGAATTTTGAAAATCTGGATACTTAGGAAACTATGGAAGCGTTTAGGTAAACTCAAAACTTGTAAAATTTTAAAAGTAATGACAGTTTTGATAACTTTTAATGCATAGAATCACTTTTACTGGGTGTTTTCTCTTTGTCCCTGAATATACAGGGTGTTTCAGTTTATTGTTGCATACTTTAAGATTCGATAGAACTTTTAAAATTAATGCATTAAGTCTATATAAACATGGGTCGAAAAATGCGTGGCTTCCGAAATACAGGGTACTTAAATTTACTTTCTAAAATAGTTTTTTTTTAATATTTCGAACAATATTTGATGTATTACAGTGAACATTGGTATACAAGGGCCTTTTGGTACGACAAAACGGACCATGTGCATAGTTTTACTGTAGCCGCTAGAGGGCGCTCTTTACTGTACCTGTAGTGTATTAAAATGACCGAAAATTTTTTCTTAGTGCAATTTCTTGCTTTTTGAATAAGAAACCTGATTCTTCGCACTTTCCAACATAAAAAAGCTTTCCTGTGAGTTTTCGTTATAGTTAGCCGTTTTTGAGATATTTCGATTTCTAAGGTTCGATGCATTTTTAATTATTTATGGGAAAATAATATTTTTTTTTACATTTTCGATTTGGGCATTACAAGTAATTAAGATGATCGTTTAGAATATTAATTTGTTCAATTTTCCAATATTATTTTTAACAAATTAAATTAATTATTTACAACTAAAATGCTGTTGGATAGTTAGGACAAACATACAAAATCTAAAGTAGTGGCTCGAAATGAAAACCCAATTGTTCAATACACAATTCACATCTACGAATGATCGAACGTGGTATAGCATTATTCAAAAATAAGGCCTTATTTAATCACATGCATTCCTGATTCTGTCTATTAGCATATCTCTTGTGGTTACAGGAGTCTGGTACACTTTTGCTTTTAGAAATCCCCACACAAAGAAATCTAATGGGTTTAGGTCAGGGGATCGTGGAGGCCAGGCGACTGGTCCTCCACGGCCGATCCATCTTTCTGGATAATTTGCGTCCAGCCAGTTTCTAACTATTCTCGAATAATGAGCTGGACAACCATCAAGCTGGAACCAGGCCAATCTTCTTAAACCTAACATAACATCATCCCACATATTTGCATGTTCAACCTTTAAAAATTTCAAGAAGGTCACAGCATTTAACCTTGCAGGCAAAAGGAAGGGTCCAAATAGTCGATTACGGTAGATACCAATCCACACGTTCACACTAAATTCATGCTGAAAATTTCTTTCCTGAACTGCACGCGGATTTTCATGCGACCAAATGTGTTGATTATGAAAATTTACCACTCCACGTCTAGTGAAGCATGACTCATCGGTCCATAAAACGTTACTTAAAAACTCCCTATTATTATCAGTTCTATCAAGAATCCACTGACAAAATGTGATTCTTCGTTCTCCGTCCCCTGGCTGTAGTCCTTGCACAGGTTGCAAATGGTAAGGACGTCTATGGTCATTTCTAAGAACACGGTGAACATGGCTTGCTGAAATTCCCAATACACCAGAAACTCTCCTAACACTTGTGGTCGGATCTCTATCAAACTCACGAAGAATCATACGGGTAAATCTGCGCTGACGAACATTCATGTTTTGATCCCTTTGGAGATTTCCAAAACCATTTTCAATTACTTGGCGATGCACTCTTACAAATATTGAGCGAGTTGGATGTCGTCTGTTTGGAAATCTTCGTGCGTATTCTCTGGCTGCTTCTGCTGCGTTTCCATTTACAAAGCCATACACAAAATGAATATCCGCTAACTCTTGATTGGAGAATAAAAATGGCATTTTTATAAAACTTACAAAAAAAAACTGGTAAAAGAAACTAAATTTCGTGCATTCACAATTGCAAAAAAACGTTTCAGGTTTCAACAGACAACAAAACTAACTGTGAACTAATTGACGTTTAAGCTTATTCTGCTTTCAATTTCAAAAATATTTGCAGGCCCAGCCTACTTGTAAAAATTATCGAGATACTGACTTTTTAACGTTATTTTATCATAGATAATTAAAAATGCATCGAACCTTAAAAATCGAAATATCTCAAAAAAGGGTAACCATAACGAAAATTCACAGCAGAGCTTTGTTATGTTGAAAAGTGTTTTTATTCAAAAAGCAAAAAATTGCATTAAGAAAAATTTTTCGGTCATTTTAATTTACTACAGGTACAGTAGAGAGCGCCCTCTAGCGGCTACAGTAAAACTATGCCCATGGTTCGTTTTCTCGTGCCAAAAAACCCTTATATACCAATTTTCACTGTTATACATCAAATATTGTTCGAAATATTTAAAAAAAACTATTTTAGAAAGTAAATTTGAACACACTGTATTTCGGAAGCCACGCATTTTTCGACCCATGTTTGTATAGACTTTATGCATTAATTTTAAAAGTTCTATCGAATCTTAAAGTTATGCAACAATAAACTGAAACACCCTGTATATGAAATTAGTTCCGAATTCAAACGCAGTAGAAACCTCATAGTATTGGAAGTATCTCATAGTTTGGATACAGAACCCGGCAATGTTTATAGATTTGCAACACCATTACACGCTACCCTTCTTCCGCTTTCACACTTACCCTTCTGTCATTCTTGAGCCCGATCTTGACAAACTTGTCCATGAAGCTCTGGAAGGTCGCCGTCCTTCCCGACAGCGGCAAGATAATATGTATAAGCTCTTTCTCTTTGGGTCCTAAGAGTCCAACACTTTTCACTGTTTGCAATGGCGCAAACGGTCTCATCACTATCACTTTTGTAAAACTAGACACTTTAGTCCGAAAGTACAGTTCGTACTGTGTACCAGTCGTCGGTTCAATTCTGTACAGTCCTTCTAAAAAATCGTCCAAGGTGTACTTGTTCAGTTTTTCTGTTATGTTTTTGTTCAGGATTTCTAGGCCCTTCATAAGTACTTCTAGGAGGTCCTTTCGCTTGTAGCCGATTGGCTTCTCCACCTGTAAAGAGAATAGGTATAGAATCTCCCGGATCTCTGTAGAGCACCAAAGATAATTCATCAACATCATACTCTGTCCTATACATATAAAGCATACCTTAGCACATGGCAGTGTCACTCAACAATGTTCAACTTTGAAGTCAAAAAAAAGTCACGCAGGTAAAGTTGCATAAATTGTGCTATCTGACATATTTCATAAGCTTTTCACTTGACATGTTTGTTACTGTGGGACGAATGTAGGAAACGAATTTTGAACCAGTTAGGAATAACCGACTGTGCTGGAATTTGGTACACACGTTTGGTTTGAGTGACAATACAAAATTAATAATACCTGCACGGGTATCACGTATCTTGAAATGTAACATTAAGCCGATTTTGTTGACTTATACGCTATTTTTTTTGACATTATGTAGGTTATTCTAAGCACTTAATTGTACGTGTTGCCTAAACGTCATGAGGCTTGTTATCAATCTTTGGCTTTGATGTGATGTAAAATCTGCTTCTGAGATGGCATTACTGGAGGTCTAAGCTGTAAGTTGTATGTGTTGATGATAATTACATTGGGTCCTTGCCCCAAATACACTTAATCGAGATTCAAAGATAGAAATTCCAGCCACTTTTTCTTAACCATTCTAGAAATTACATATACAAATTTGCTGAATTTCAGAGATAAGAAATAATTATGTGCACTGTACACTGTCGAATTACAAGCTATATACATGCCAACAGTAATTACACACAACGTAAGCGCGGTGAAGATTTCCCGTAATTCTCCTTAGTTTATCGTAATTTATAACTTTGAACATCCAGACCATCATCCAGATGAGATCTTGCTATTCAACCAACTTTCTTCTCAGGGATAAAAACTACAGACCCGCATCACTCAGCCTCACAAAACTATGCAACCAGTAGTGCGTAGTTTAGTTGAGTGATTCCTCCATAGATGGACGATATCAACGATCCTAGTGAGCAAACGTGGAATGACTGTTTGCACCCTAAAAACTACCTAGTCTGCAAGTTGACATCTTATACAGTATATTCAGATAAGAGATAGACCGGACATAAACAAGACCACGTGATCATCGAACGCAGTAACATTCGGCAGGGACGTATTAAGAGTCACGCAGTACATATTTTAGATAGTAGATGCTGCTTTGGAAATTAAAACGCTCAAAACGTAAAACAATGTGCATGGTTGAACATTGTCAGAAAGTAGATTCTTGAATAGGTTTTGCCAAAATGGGTTTAAAAATGTCAATAATTAATTAAAAAATACAGTAGCTTTATAATTACTTATAACTTACCGAATTTGATGAACGACATCTTTTATTGGAAAGATGAGCTTGATGAGCTTTCATCATCGCTACTGCCTGAAGCACCAACGTCAATAATGAATGGCTCGACTTGTTCCTCTAAAATATTGTCCAGTTCCCACATTCTCTTTTCAACTTTGTCTTTCACGTGCTTAATACAGTTTTCCCATTTTTGCGCTGTTATTAATTCTAGTGCTTCTTTGAAAAGTCCTTTGAGGTCACAAAATTTAAAAGTTGTATTGTGCTTAGCTATATAATTTTTAACCTCTGCCCATATGAGCTCAATGGGATTGAGCTCGCAATGGTATGGAGGTAAACGGAGTACAGTTTTATTTTGACTTGCTGCCATTTCGTCAATGGCGTATTTTTGATATTCCGCCTTGTGACCCTTGACAATTCTTAATAATTGTACTTTCAGCATTGCTTCTTCAAAGTTGATATTTTTCGAGCGGAGCCAATTTTGTACATCAACTTTCCTTGAAGCCGTTGTTGGAACCTTCTCCATTCTTCGAGAATGATGAGGCGCATTATCCAACACAATTACTGCGTTTTCCTCTAAGTTCGGTAAAATTTTTGAAAACCACTGTTCAAACGATTCGTCATTCATTTCCTCGTGGTAATCGCCAGTTTTCTTAGACTCAAAGCAACACAGACCATCAACAACAAATCCATCCTCACTGCCAATATGGCAGATAATGAGCCTTTTCCCTTTAACTGGAAATCGAAGTACTAACTGGTGTAGATTTATTTCAATAAGCGAACCTTTTTCAAATGTTTTCATCACATTCAGCGAAAAAACATTGAGACATGAGTATCAGATTGCTATAATTGGGATTATTTAGTCATATTGAAAGAAAGAATATTGAACGTCGTATGATTACTCAGCGCTTCACAATTTAATTTAAAGTTATAAACCTTTAAAAAATGAATGATCAGGAACCTGAAATACGCGCAAATACTAATATTAACAAATTATAACTTTATAAAGCTTCAAGTATGAATTAAAATGATTAGAAATATTAGGAACGGTACACAATATAAAACTTAGTAACTTTTTTTCAAGTTTATAATATTCGACATATTTTAAGATTATATTAAAAAATTATTGAAATATCGAAAACACATAAAAACATGGCTTAAAAAAGTTCTAACAAATGAAAATGACAATAAAACATCCACGCATTTTATCGAAAGTTATAAAAGTTTTGTTACTTGTAATATGTTTTATCTGCCCCCTGGAATTAATGTTTAGAACCTTGTTCCCAAGGTTTGAAAAACATCCGATTGTTGTCTATTACTCGTATTTACCTGCTGAATTTTTAATCCGGTGGACAGTCCATCTAGAAAGGCCCTCCTGGATGAAGTTACAGAATCATCAACCCATACTTTACTTGTAGTGTGTCCTGCGTTTACCCACGTTTCATCAACGTAATAAATCTTCCTGTTTTGATTTCTATATTTCCCAATTTTTGTTAAATAATCCCTCCTCCATAGCACAATTTCTTCTCTATCCAGTAGTAAACTATTACGACCCCGTTTTTTCCATTTGAAATTTAAATGCTTCAGTAACGCATGGAAAGTTGATCGTTTGAAATTTGGCGACGTTGTATCTCCATTTACCTCCTGCAGTACTTTATCTATAGCAGGTATTTCATTCCTAAAGAAGAATTCATGCACTTTCCTCCTAATCGCATGCTTAGCAGCTTCATCCAATGATTTAACAATACTTTTGGGATGTTTACTGGTCATTGGCTCAGAAAAGGTGTGATTTTTTTTGTATTGTCTTAACACATTAAACACTGATGCGCGACACACCCCAACTTTGTGAGAAATCTTCACAACAATTTCTTTGATGGTTCATGCCTCGTTCTCCTCGCGCTCGATCTTATATATATTCAAAATGACCTCTTTCATTTCTGCACTCAGGTGTCTTTTTTTAGAGCGTTTCCTAGGTGGACTACAGGAGTTTACAACTTCATCGACAGTATCTGTACTACTGGGCATTTTGCGCAAGCAGTTGATAACAATAACAATCAATAACAAGGTATAACAATAACAACGACAAACGCAACAACTTAATAAGATAACAAACGAAAACGTCCAAAGAAATATCAAATTGCAATGATGCACACGACATACGTAACACGTCTGAACCTGAATGTGACTCTGCCTTGATACGACTGCTCTGCCGCTCGGCATAGGCATTTAATTGCGAGTTGACCAATGAGGGCTCCTGTTTTACGTCTAGACGGCGGCGTTAGCGTGAAAATCACCCGAACCTTTTGTTTACATCCGATCTATCTCTTATCTGAATATACTGTAGGTTTTTTTGACGTTTTATAGGTTTTTTACATGATACCCATGCCGATGCTATTTTGAATCCAATATGGCGGATGATAGAACTTGGCAATTCATCATTTCCATAGCGATTCCTATGATAAGGCTATCAAATGAAACGGATTGATGAGGGAAAAACAGTAAGCAAGATGAGGTCATTCTAAATAGTCACCGTTATGACATATGAGAGAAACCCAATAGGCAGATAACGCCATCTCAAATTCAATACTTATCATTTATCATTATATGGTTTACACTTATCGAAATTTAATAATACAAATGCAGAATGAATTCTTATGGAATCCCATTGATAAGATATATGAATAAGGAATACTAAAAGGTAAAAAATAAGTAAAATCTGCATTTTGACTTCAGGATGGATGAACGACGTAGCTTTTATTTGGAAACTTATCGTTTAAATCTTTTTACCAGTTGAAATAAATCTTGTTTTAAAAGATGTATTTTTTGACTTTATCTCTTATGAAATACTAAACTCACGAATTACTTATTTATTTAAATCATGATTTAAATTAAGATTATTTTCATATTTCTGTCAAAATGCACAACAGAAGACTTATTTAAGCCCTGAGGGTTTAAAATAATAACATTTTAATTAAAGTGATACAATTCATCGAAACGATGCCTTAAGTTGTACCACGTGGTTTGCAAGTTACATCTCAACAAATAGAATTTTTTGGCATTCAAATACATTAAATAAGTGTCTCTACAAGTAATTGCAATCTGTGATTGTGAGATTCGTAAGACTATCAGACCCACTAAAATAAGCGTACCTTCAAATACCAAGTAGGAGTGCAGTGATTGATCACTCAACATGTTTAGGTAAGACAGTTACTAAAATTGGAATACACGTATAGCATAACCGACAGAAACAAGTCGGCTAACGCATTTTTAAAATAGTTGCACTTCCTGTTGTACCGGAAAAAGATGCCAACTTGCTCATTTTGAATAAAATGCCCTGTCTGTTATTTAAATTTTGAATTGTACTCGAAATTCTAAATACAATTGTCGTATATCAGCCTATACCTGAGCGTAACAGTTTTTGAAATATGTGGGCTAAAAATGTTACAAATACGGTCCAACGAATTGTAACAATTTTACACGTATTTTTGCATTTACCGATGATTTGTAACGGTTTTTTGTATAAGAAAAACAAATTTGATAAAAGAAGATGATAAAAATTCTGAAAGGCCCAAAACGCGAATTCTTGCAAATGGAAAACACTTTTTATGTCATATAAGGTTATTTACACAATATAAAGGTGCTTTCCAGATATATGAAATTTTTATAATTGTATAATGCCAACTTTTCGCGTAATCAACTGCTGCAGTTCCAGTTGGGACGTTCTATATAGAGAAAAGCCTAATCAAACTTTCAAGAGATCACTCATGAACATGCTTATTGTCTTAAATTTTGGTGGGTGGCATAGAGACTGGAATATTTTCATTCCTGCAGAAGAACAGAGACAAATTTACACATTATTATGGAAGAGTTTCCTTTCTTGATAAGTGTTTGTTAGACCCTTCCGTTTCAAAAAGAGTTGGTAAGAATATAAGAAAAATTCGTACAACATACTTAAATCTGCCCTACTTTGAATTCAGCTGGACTTAGTGAAGTTTCACGTTCAACATTGTATAGAATTATACGGGGCAGGCTATATCCATGCTTACCACTCTCTTTCCTAGGCCCAAATCAATGGGGTAGACTCGGCTGTATGTGAAGTGATTGAATGGAATAAGCTCGTATTCGTTGTTGAGCGGCGTTCCATGGAAGATTTCCGCCTGCATGATCTGCTTGCGGATATAGTTGGAGCACTCTGAGTTGGTGATGGTTGGATTGGTGTTGGTGGAAGACTGGTTGAGGGTTGTCGTGAACACAGGGCTCTGACGGGGAGCTTGAAGGCTGTTGGTACCTCCTGGAACAAAGAAAATTTTTGTTATGTACTGTTTGAAATTAGGATAATTTTTCCGAATTTCTTTATGCATAACGTATGGGACATAAGTCTTATAAAGGTTACAGGGTTGATCAACTAAGTGAAAGAATTTTATTATATATATACGAGCCCCTTCCCACTTCAGTTGGCCCACTTCAAGAATTGTACCAAAATATGCCTTTATAAACTAAACATGACGAAACTATTTACTTCTAAAATAATTTATTTTCTCAAAAACATTTTAGATACACTCTAGTCGTAAAAAATACGTATTTGAAATCACTTAGACCTATAACTAATAGAGCATCTGAACAAATAAAGAATGTGCGAGTAAATGCGCGAAGTTAACAAAGCAACAATTGAAAGATTACCATTGGGTAACACCACCTTTATTTTTTATTACGGCTGAAATGCTTTGGGGCATAGTGTTGAACAAGTTTTGGCAAAAATTTGTTGTAAAACAATCCCATATTTCTTGAAGCTTTTGTCTCAGTTCGGTGATTGTACGAGCAGGATGTTGTCGTAGAACATTTTTCATCTCGTGCCACAAAGTTTCAATAGGTGACAGATATGGACTGCTAGAAACCCATTTCAAAAGTGGTACATTATTTTCTTCCATCTTCCATTATAGCCTTTTTTGAGGTATGGCACGCTGCACCACCTTGCTGAAACACAAAATCTTGGCCGGATGTCAAACATTCTTCCATCACTGGTAAAAGCGATACTTCTAAAATTGCCAAATATTTGTTTGTATCCACATCTCCATCAATAAAATGAAGTTTTCCTACTCCTTTTGATGACATGCTGCCCCAGACCATAATGGATGCTGGAAATTTCACTTTTCTCTTCAGACAGTCAACTTGGAATGCTTCATTTTTTTGCGAATAACTCTACTGCGACTGTCACCAACACAAACTTCGAATCGTGCCTCATCACACCATTGTATTGCACACCATTGTTGAGGTGTCCATTTTCTATGTTCTTTAGCCCATCTAAGCCGATTTTTCTTTTGCAGCTGTGCAACTTTAGGGTTTTTACTTCACTTTTTTTATAAGAAAACTTACCTTGCAAGTGCTAAATGGCAGTTTGTGGGCTTCTCTATGTGTTGTGGACCTCGAAAGTTTCCTTCCAACAGCGTCACTCCACAGAGCACTTAATTGTAAATAATTGGCACGCCTGTTCTTCACGATTATTCTCTAATGCTCTTCGGTCGGCATCTGTGATATTACTTTTTTTCACATATCGTGGCTTAATATTAACTGAACCAGTTACGTTATATCTTCTAACAATATTTATCACACTGTACCGCGATAAGTCTAACGAAGTTGCAATTTCTGAATTTGATTTCCCAGAATTAAAAAATTTAATTATCAGTAACCGAATTTTCTCACTAATAACCTTTCCTCTACCCATTTTGAATACCTTAACTACCCAAAACTATTTTAAACGTATTCTGACAGCTGATTAATAAAAAAAATTGTCATCTCTTTTATTTTTCACAGCCACCTATGCGTTATAGATTTATTTTGCATTGAAATGAAAATAGGTTGATATGCTGTAATTGCAACATGTGTTATTTTTATGCTGCAAATTTGATTAGGGAGTGATAAAGTTGGTGTTTTCTACTGTATATTATCAAAATATTCATTGTTAATATTTTAAACCTATAACACCCTGTTATATTTGTATTGTTTGTGTTTGATAAGAAAAAACTAAGATTTCAATAGTTATGCCAACATAAGTGGGAAGGGGCTCGTATATATATATATATATATATATATATATATATATATATATATATATATATATTTATTTATACTAAAGGTTAATCGTCGAACGTGAAGGTACCACCCAGCGGCACTCCAAGGCGGGGCCAGAGGTAACTTGAAGCCGAACTAGCATTTTGTAAAAAAGGGGTACCATCCAAGAAAAAGCTACCTATATCCATAGAATTTTATTAATAAATCCTTAAATGACGTCCTTTGAGGTTACAAGGATTCTTTTGGTTGCTCCCTCCCACTTACTGATCTTTGAAGGCTGTTTGGGTCTCAGTTCTTTCAAATTGCAACGTGCTTGCCTATGCGTGCTAGTTCCTTGAGTCATATTTAAATCCATTTTTGAAGATTCTCAAAATTATAACCGAAAAAGGAGTAAGGGTTATAGGCATACCTCACAATACTACCAGGTTTTTCAACACACTCAGCTATTACGATTTTTTAAACGCGCATGCGCGTTCAACTAACTATCGTAGTAATAGGGCATTCCGCATAATATTCGGGCTGTGCAAAAAAAAACGTATTTTTGAAGTGATATTTTCATCGTTTCAGAATCTACCTTTTTTTTGGAATAAGCTGGATATGGGACTTCACAAAACCACTCTGTATAATAGAGTATATACCACAGAACTATCAAAATCAAACACTAATGAATGCATCCCGATTCGTCCATCTCTCTCTCCCTCTATGAATTAAGCAACGACTGTAATCTGAAAAGAGAGGATTTTCCCTGTTAGAATTTTTTTCCGATCGCATACAAACAATACGAAGCAGGACTGTAGAATAATGCATGCACATCCTGGCAGCTACGGGAAACTAATACATGCAGCCTCTGGATTTGGAAGTTATTGGGTCTGAAATAGGGTAAATTCGACACATGCTTTTTCGACTACTGATATTAAAACATCGACTAATCATTGAGATATTATGTTACTTTTTCCAAAAAACATATCATTTTGCATATAATTAACAATTTTTCGTCTTAAAACAAGCGTTCTTATAATTGGAAGTTATGATGCTATCAAAGATAACACTGAAATTGTTGCCAAAATTTGGATAACTATTGTGGTCACATTTGACGGAAATATTTCATGTGCATAGATTTTTAATTCACTTGTGACCGAAACTCAGTCGGCTATAATCACTACCACAAATGGAAACGATTTCTTGACACACTCGGCTATAGATAAATGCCTCACCATCATTTTGTTAGAAAATATGTTACCAACTGTATCTATGAGCCAGAGACAGAAACACACAAGGTTTTCTTTATTGTTAAATTTAGGTTAGACTCACGTAATCTTATAGGACAAAATTACTAAAATTTTACCACAAGATGACCTATAGTACTTGTTTTATATCCTTTGACCTATTAGTAATCAATTTCTTTTCGACCTAGTATTGAATTCTAAATCAGTTTGGTATTATTCCCCACTTTGTGACAGGCAAACGCTTGGAAGTGAATCTAACCTTTTTAAATTGGTCGTGCAATATTTTTAACTTGCTGAGTGGTTGAAATAACTTAATTAGAGCTTAAAATGTTTGTTGGAAGAATAGCTTTCTCTCAGTAACTTTCACCCCTAAATAAATTCCTTCCATTTGTATTTTAAAAACAAAACGTAGCATATGTCCGTCTCTAATCTGTATCTACGCTAAAATTCGTCAAAATCGGCTTATCCGTTTTGGCGTGAAAACGGAACATACTGACATACTGGCTTTCGCACTTGTAAAACAGGGTGTAAACGTTATGATAGTCATTATTTAAATGGGTGATAGGGGGGGTTGAAAGCAGCTAAAAGTTTTATATAACATGGGAGTCAAAACGGCATTTTTTTAGAGAAAAGCGACACTAAAGTAAAGTAAAATCTGACAACGCCGCAATGCCAGACGCAAATTACGACGGAAAGCATTGTAAATAAAAGTGGAGTTTGTTATTTTTGGCTCTTAGGTATTATTTCATTATTTGATAATGTACTCGTAAAATGCAAACAATTGAAAAAAAGGACCTACCACTAACTGTCTCAGCGCTTCACCTAGTGTGTGAAAGTTTATTGAACTTTTTAAAAAAATCCACATATAAATAGGGAACACAATTTTGATACATACATTGTTTTTCTCTTTAAAACTCACACTGCACTTTTTTTGTATTTAAAGAAGGTGTTCAAAATGTTCTTCTTACTATAGGTCCTCGAAGTTGTCCATTTATTATTTCAGCCGCATTAGAATGTTTTTCGCGAAGTTGTGCTTCAGTTGTTATTGGACTAGACCCATAAACCATCCATTTAAGTTCTCCCCAATACCAGAAATCCATCCGATTGAGATCAGGAGATCTTGCTGGCCATTTTCGAGGATCAGGAGCATTCCGACCGATTCAGCGATTTGGATAAAGTTCATTCAAATACTGAATGACGCCTCTAAAAATGTGTGGTGATGCCCCGTCATGATGGAACCACAAATTCTATCTCCGTTGTAACGGCATGTTGTCTAAGGTCTGTTCCAAAAATTCTGGTAGATTATTAGCTAGAAAGCTAAGGTACAGGTATCCTCCTGACACCTTTGCGGGTAACTCGAAAGGGCCAATTTCCTGATAGTCAAGAATACCCGCCCAAATACGAGGGATGTCTTTTAAGTTTTGCATGTAGAAACACAGTTGGCCGCGCGGATCGAACGTCAGTACTGAATCTTAACCTCACTCTTTAGTAAACTTAAATTCAAAGTTGCACAACAATACGTGCAGTGTTCTTACTGCAGTGAATATCTAAGTGCCACCAAGTCATTAGAAAAATGGAACTCAACCGAGAACACTTTCGCGCCATAATTTATTACAACTTTCAGAGACAATTATCGCAACAAGAATGCCTTGCTGAGTTACTGTCTGTTTTCGGCAATGAAGCGTCACATCAGTCGGCAATTTACCGTTGGTATGAAGAATTCAAACGTGGACGGGTGAGTCTCAGCGACGATTCCAGGGTGGGTGCACCAAAAACGGCACTCACCCAGGAAAACGTCGATGCTGTGCGCAAACTCATCATCGAAGACAGATATGTGACATATCGCGAGATTGAGGCGTCCTTGAAGAGCTCAAAGGCCTCAATTCAAAAAATTTCACATGAAGAATTAGGAGTAAGAAAATTAGTTTCTCGTTGGATACCCCACCTGTTGACTGAAGAGCAGAAAGCAGCCAGGGTTAATTGGTGTCAAAAAACGCTTGACCGTTTCAATTCCGGAAACTCAAAAAATGTGTACAGCATTGTTAGTGGTGATGAATCGTGGATTT